TTTGTTGTGTTTTGGTTTGTGTAAGAAGTTGGTGTGCAAGAAGAGTTTTTGGAAAAGGCTTTTAAAGGTGAAAAGAAGAAGTTATTAGGCTACAAAGGTAACCCATGCTATACAAAACCTATTTTCTTACTTATATGATGATTCTTGGCTTCTACTTGTTATCCTTGTGATGATTTGTGAGATTTGATGCATGATCTTGTGATGATGCATGTTTAGAGCTTGTTTATAGGTTTCTTGAATACCATTGCTTGGCTATTTCTTGGGTTCAAGTCATATCTTTGTTGTGAGTGTGATTTTGGGTGTTTTAGACTTGAACTTGGCCTTGTTGTTGATTTTCCCCGAAGGGAAATTTCGGAGTACAGTAGTGTACCCGCGGGCAGAGGCCTACCCGCCGCCCCACCCGCGGGGAAGGTGGTTCAACTCGGGTGTGTACCCGCGGGCGGAACCGCGGGTGGAGGCCCACCCGTGGCCCCACCCGCGGGGTAAGTTGTTGGATGATATCGGGGATTTGTTTCCCGTGATTCTTTCTTCTCGGTATTGATGTTTTGACCTCCCGATGTTGATTTATTGTGCTATTTGTGAGTCTTCTTGATGTTTCGTATGTACAGAACGGTGTGTTAGGAATCCATGTTAGGATTTGGTGTCTTGAATCGTGCTAAGGGTCCAACTTTGTGATTCGTTGGGCTAATATGAGTCTTGAATGTTCTTTAGAACTAATGTTGGTTTACCCGCTTGATAAGCATGCTAGTTTGATGTTGATATGCTAGTATGTGTGGTTTGTTCCTTCGTATTGGGATTGGAAACTTGTGTTGGCAATCATTTGGTGTTGGATTGTAATCCTTTGTTGTTGAGTATGGTCTCATGTCTTTATTATGATCTCTGGATTGATTCCTATGATGTGATCGTATACAAATTGTTGAACCCTTGTTGATACTTGATTGAGGTTATTGTTGAGCCTTAGTCTTCTTGGTAATGAAGAAGACCTTGTGTGACTATGATTCTTTTTTTTCTTTTTCTTTTTTTTTTTTAAAAAAAACTTTATTAATAAAATGGCCGAAGCCAATACAGAGGGCTTAGGCCCCACATGGCCTAAACCCTAAAACTAAACTAAGAAATGTAAAGTAGAATAAAACAAGATTACATAAAGAGGCCCCCGGGGCTCTAGTATGCATGCCCCAAGTCCTATACTAGCTATCACTAACTAAACGTAGGCAGGAATATGATTAAACAAATAAATAGACTGAGAAGCTGCTCCAAATACGCGCAGCCCAACTGCCTCACAGCCCATCATGTAGTACCAAAGCTCAAATAGCGAGGATAGATGCCTCGCGTGTGACAAACATGGCCCCTCCCAGCCAGTTGCACTACAGCGACTACACACCATAATGCCGCCTAGCCGGGCTGCACCATAATTGTAACACCTCCCGGAGCGCCATTGGCTGCCCTGTAGAACCAGACATGCCATACAACAGAGTACCAATAGCACGCTGGTCTAAGTCAAGATATACAGCTAACAATGGCACGCAGGCCTAAGTCAAGATACAAAGCTTAGTGGCACGCAGGCCTAAGACAAAGGTACAAGGTAGATCCCAGGCCAAAATCGATCAACGCAGCGCAAGGCAGCCAATAGCAGAACCCTCGATCAGCACCAGCACGAACCAGAACCAACCCTAACGGGATTAGCTACTATGGGCCAGCAGCAAGCCTGGACTACCGCCAACGGATTTGAAAAACACCTACCCTGCCACCGTTCAGCCCGGGCTACGATGCAATTTTTACCGCTTGCATCGGCGTTGAGACCTGGTCTTTCCCAAAGATGCCTGCAAAGGCGAAACCAAAACAGCCCAGGACCAGTTCATGCCTCCGAGGCCAAAGAAACAGCACCTGCAAAAATAGAAACAAGATAGAACAACCAAGCATCCTGTTCCCATGACCCAACTTAATTCTACCTCGGGTGAGTGTTTAAGGTTATAACAGGCTGACGCGAACAAAAAATAAACCATAGCCCGTCCCCCCCGGAGTCCAGAAGGAACTCAGCTACTATTGGCCAGCAGCAAGCCTGACCAGGTCAACGGATTTGAAAATCCTGCCCGGCACACCGTTCAGCCCGGACTAGGGTGCCCTGTTGTACCGCCAGCACCTTACGTTGAGACTCAGCGCTGCAAGCAGGGCCTCACGGCCTCCCAAGAACCTCACACACTCACTATTTTGAGCTCCCATCCACTCTTTCTTTTCCTTTCCAACTCTCATTTTCTTTCCCTCCAATTCTTTTACACTCCAATTCTTTTCACTCTATTTCTTTTCAATCGTTTCTCATTTTCTCAAATCCATTTTCTTTTTTCTTTTCATTTTCTTTTCCTTTTCATATTTCCATCTCTCTTTCTCTCTTTTTTTTTTTACTTATTTTCCCTTCTTTCTTTTTCTTCTTTCTTTCCATCTGAACGAGCAAAAGCACAAGTACAATCAGGGGGGATCATCAATATCAAAAAACACATAGGGCACATCATCATGTATCAGCAAGGCACGGACCCTACGTGGCAGATCATTGAGGCTCCGAAAGATGGCCTCCCCCGGCCTATCCATCGCCCAGTCAGCTAGTGCCTGTGCCAGCATATTGGCCCTAGACGGGCACACAGCAGCAGTAACCACTCCACAGGAACATAAGAAACGGAGTCTGGTCACCACATCATCTAGAAGCCACGGCGGACGAGCAGAGATGTCAACGTAGCTGGCCAACTCCGCCCAAGTGGACTCTATATCAATCAAAGTAGTTCCCCCGGCCAGGCACCATTCCAGGCAAGAGAAAAGGACCCAGAACATGCCCCGGGCGTGCTCCCCGTGGCCAGACCACGCAACTCCGTAACAAAAGCCACCCTCCTGGTTGCGCACCACTGCCGCAGCCCCCTCAGCCGCCGAAGAGCGAGAAAGATTGATCTTTAACGCCCCGGCAACCGGGGGAGACCACCTGACCGTCCTAATAACACGCCTCGGCACATGTGCCTCCAAGTATGCCACAATAGTCCTCCAGTTAGAGGGCAGGATATGCTGCATGGGCCAACGCCTAAACAGACATTCCGCCACCCCCTTTGCCACCCCATGCATCACCCGTGCAACGCTGGGTGTGTCTCGGCCGTACATGCACCCATTACGGTGCTTCCACAGCTCCCACAACACCAGATACGGCAACCTGCTAACAACAAAAGACAAAAGAGGGTTACGCGCCCCCGCCCGACCCCATCCTGCAATCAAAGTCCTAAGACTCCGGTGTCGCAAGTAGAGGCCGATGGACGCCAAAACATATATCCAAACAGCTCTTGCTGTTTCCCCAGAATAAAAGATGTGATCAATAGACTCGGGGACCGGGGCTGGACAACACCGACACCTCGAGACGATCGCATGACCGAAACGGGCCAAAATGTCATCCGTGGGAAGCCGCCCTCGGAACACCCTCCAAGCCAGGAAGGACACCTTAAAAGGAAGGTGCTTGCGCCAACACTTAGCTAAGAGCGGGTCCGGTGCAGTGGGCAAAGCAGGCCTAAGAAAGGCCTTAGCAGAGGAATAAGAAAACATACCGTCGGACGCCACGGTCCAGAGTGGGATATCACGCGGGCCCTGCCCCAAGCGGGACAGGTCCGCCCTAATCCCTGCATATGACAAGTCATCGTGGTCTGTCAAATCAAGCTCGCCATCCCGCACATAGTCTAGAAGTAACTCCCTGGAGTAGGAAACCCCCCGGTGTGGATAAAGCCTGCCAAGTGGGCCCAGCCCCGACCAGTTGTCCCACCAGAGATTAACCCGGCCTTGGAACAACCGCCAAGTGAGAACCCCCTCAACCTCATCACGCACCGCCAGCATCCTCTTCCAGGTGTGCGAATCTCTATTCTGAACCAACTTAGCAACCGGGTGAACCCGACTGCAGTATTTCGCCCTCATAAAGTCCGACCATAAAGTATGATCTGTCCGGAAATTCCACCACAATTTAGCACTGGCCGCCCTCACCATCAAGTCCAAATCCAAGAACCCCACCCCCCCTTCCTTCTTAGGACGAGCGAGGGTTTTCCACGAACTCCAATGGTAGCGGGCGCCCCCTGACTGTTTCCAGAAAAAACTCGCATAACATCTCTCCAAATCCCGTATGACCTGCTTAGGCGGTGCGCAGGCCAAAAATAAGTGCAACGGCATGGCCTGCAAGACTGAAGAGATCAAGATTGCCTTCCCGCCCTTCGAGAGCAGCCGGCGCTGCCAACTCAAGCATCTAGCCTTAACTTTATCAATCACCGGGGCAAAATAGATACACTTTTTACAGCCTATATACACCGGGCAACCCAAATACGTAAAAGGAAACTGTTTATGCACACAACCCGTTGCCCGGCAAATCTGCTCAATCTCGTGGGCCGGAGTACGAGGGTGCATGTAAAACGCACTCTTCTGAAAGCTCACCAACTATCCCGAGATCTCCTCGTACTCCTTTAACGCCCTAATTACGACCTCAATAGCTCCCAACCTGGCCGTACTAAAAATAATAACATCGTCCGCGTAGGCCAGGTGGTGAATATGTGGCGTCCGTGGCGGCTGCGTAAACCGGGGCACCGTAGTGCCATCATAGACCCGCGCAATGTACACCGACAAGATCTCAGCTGCAATGACAAACAGAGTCAGGGACAGCGGGTCCCCTTGCCTGAGACCTCGCGTAGACGTGAAGAAGCCCTCTTTGACTCCATTCACAATCACTGAATACCACACATTAGACACGGCCCGGAACACCATATCTATCCAGACCTCACTGAAACCCAGGCGGCGCATCACCGAAGTCAGGAAAAACCATGATACCCGGTCATAAGCCTTAGCCATGTCTAGCTTAAGGACTATATCCCGATTCTGCCAGCTCAACCCGTGGCACATCTCAGACGCTAGAAGCACGTTATCTGTAATGGACCGACCTGTCACAAACCCACTCTGCTGCGGTGACAACACCCGGGGCAAGACTGTAGCCATCCGAACTACCATGAGCTTCGTAATAAGCTTGCTACTGAAATTGCAGAGGCTGATGGGCCTGTAGTCCGCGAAAGTCTCTGGGCTCGGCTTCTTCGGCAACAGGACGATGGATGTGTGCGTGATAGCCCTGGTGAATTCCCGCCCTGCAAAGTAACTCCGAACCATACTGACAACATCCTCCTGAATAATATCCCAGCAAGCCTTATAAAAGGCCCCGAGAAACCGTCCGGCCCTGCCGCACTCGTAGAGTTCATCTGCATTACAACCGCCTTCACCTCCTCCACCTCAGGCACAGCCGTTAAAACCTCATTATCCTCCTCTGTAATCAACCGTGGCACACAGTCCAGCCTAGTCAAATCAAAACCCCCAATCTCCGCGGTGAACATATGCTCAAAGAAAGAGACCGCCTGATTCGCAATCCCTTGCCTATCCTCTAGCCACACACCGTCACCACCCTTCACTCTGTGTATATATAGCTTACGCCTGCGTTCCTTAACCACTGAGTGAAAGAACCGGGAGTTTCTATCCCCATCCTGAACCTCGGTGATACGCGCCTTTTGCTTCCAAAAATCCTCCTCAATAGCAACCTGTTTCTGTAACAAAGCAACACCCTTTTTATATTCAATTAAAACATTCTCATCATCTGGGTGTTGCTGTAAGGCAGCCTCTAGGGTCTGAACACTATCCTCATACTCCCGGAGCTTCACAAAGATATCCCCAAATACAGTCTTGCTCCACGTGCCCAGAACTTTCCCCAACCTGTTCAGCTTGGTGGCTACTACAAACATAGGGGCCCCCTCTACCGGGGCCTGCCAGCTATCTCGCACCACCCTCAGAAAATCCTCGTGCTTAATCCACACGTTCAGGAAAACAAAGTGCTTCGGGATTACCTGCATACTTATCAACTCAAAAGATATTAGAAGTGGACTGTGGTCAGACGTGGACTTTGACAAATGCCGTACGGATGACGTAAAAACCGACTCCCACACCGAGGTGTAGAGGAGCCGATCTAATCGCATCCATATCGCCGCCTCTTTACGGCGGCCATTCCACCAGGTGAAACAGGAGCCGTAATAAGCCGCATCAATCAAGTCACACGCGCTGACACACTCCTGAAAATCAGTAGTCTTCCGGTGTGAATACGGAAGCCCACCTTTTTTCTCGTCCACACTTAACAAAGAGTTAAAATCCCCAGCAACCGCCCAAGGCACACCCCCGGGAATCATAGAAAAAACAGCTTTCAGCTTAGCCCACAAAGGGTCCCAGAGGCGTACCGTGGTCTTGGCATAAACAAAAGAGAGCCAGAGAGGCGTGAGAACCGTAGAGTGCACACAAGATATCGTAACGCACTGTTCAGTCTGACTCTCAAATGTGACTGCCAAGTCATTATTCCAAAAAAGCCAAATTTTATTATTACAAGAGGCAAACACATTGTCAAATTGAAAACGAATTCTAAAAAACTCAAGCCAATCAGACGAGCTGAAAGGCTCGAGCAAACACAGAACAAAAGGAGAATGCATTCTTAACAAGACACGGATCCTGCGTGCCGAACCCCGGGAGGACACCCCCTTCACATTCCAAACGAGTATCTTCATATAGACCGAACATCCGACTCCGAGTGAGAGGGGTCCCCCCCTTTTCTGGTATGACTAAGCCGATGTCCTACCAGGCCTACACCATCAAGCACCCGATCCTCAGAGTCTGACCCCGACTCCGGGGCCCACTCCTCATGACCAGGCACCGGCACGTCAGAATCTGACCACGCCCTTTCCCTCTCCCTTCTCGGCCCCCAGGTAGCCTTAGGAGAATGAGAGATAGGAGTGAAAGAGAAAGATACCTGATGCGGGTTCTGCAGATCAGCCCGCCCTCCCGAAGGACTAAAACAGTCAGTAACCTCCGGGATAGTGGACAACTGGCCAGGCGACTGGCCATTCCCTACCCCGGGCGCTGTCGTACCTTCAGCCGGGGTAGATGGCAACTCTGAGACTAAGTCCTCATCCTGGAGCACAGCAAACCCATTACTAACCGGCACCGGGGTGGCCCGGCTAGGTGAAAGTGCCCGCCATACCTTATTACCTGTACCAACACCCGGCCCCTGGTTAACCATCGAGGCCTTACCTTTTACTTGCTTTTCTTTGTTACTTTGTTTTTCCCTCTGACTAGCTGTCATGTCCCGATGATCCAACACAATAGCTGATCCCCGGTCCTGGCCGACCCCCCCAGTAGGGAGCGGGCCAGCATCAGCCACTGATGTCGGCATATGTGCTGCCGAGGTGCGTGGAGCGCTTGCCCCACCACCAGGGACACGGCAATTGTTGGCCAAATGGCCTTGTTTCCTGCAGTTCAAACAATACGGGGGGATACGCTCATACTCTATCGCCTGCCAAAACCCCAGGGCCTCCCGATCCGGGCGCGCAGTCCCTAATCGGATGAACATCTTGCGGCACCGGGGTTTCAGCAAGTCAATCTCAACCTTCACCCTAGCGACACTAGGGCGGGTGAACTTAGCCGTAGGCGTATCCACCTGTAGAAATCTTCCAATAGGTTTGACAATCTGTTTGAGACAAGGCTCCGAGAAACAGTTGGCCTTAAGGTTGGGCAGTAACACCCAAACCGGGGCCAACGACGTCTCGAACCTCGTGTCAAAGTCCATTGTCCACTTAAAGAGCCTCATCGGGCACTTCCCGTCAAAGAGAATCTGACCCTTGACTAACGTGTTAATGCAATCTTCCGGGTTGGAAAATGCAAGAGGCACGTGTCGCGGGTCCACTAAGCCAACACTCACAGTTCCTTTCAACTTCAAGCGTTTGGCAAAGTGTTCTCTTATAACGGAAAGTACGGGCCTGCCATAAGAGAACTTTCCAATAAGTAGGGTTTCCCCTATTTTGTTCATCTGTTGCACCTCTGTATCCTCAAAGGTAATGCAGGCCTCCCCCTCATAAGTTTCAACCAATTTATCCGGGATATTAAGTCCCGAGGCATGGCCCGCATTAACCCCTTGAGCTGGCAGGCCCGTGGAAGCAAAAAGACTAGCAAAGGAAGGAAACATACCTGAGCTCCCGGCCAAAGCCGAGCTACCTACCTGGGCCGCCTGACTATGATTGAGATTGGCGGTTTGTTACTTGAGCTTTGCTCACGAGATTGGCGGTTTTGTGATTATGATAATTAATGGTACCCTCGTGTACTGAGAGATCGGTGGTGATGTAGGCGGTGTAGGCGGGGGGGGGGGGGGGGGAGGACAATCCCCGGAGGCAAAAGTTTGGACTCAGAAGTTCAGGGTGGCACTAGGAGGTAACAGTTGGAACTGTGATAAGGCCGGGGGTAGCCATAAGGTTGTAACAGGGCATACGGTTGGAACTATGAAACTTGTGACATGTAGTTGTCACTGTGTGAATGTGTTTTCCTTGCTTATGAGCATGTCTTGATGTGTTCTACCTTGTGAATGGTATGATGCATCCTGAGTTGTGTTGTCTATGTTGGTTGTGGTCTTGACTTTGTTGTGAGGTTGATGATCCTCGCTTTTATTGAGAGTGTGATGGTCTTTGATGTTGACTTCTTTTCCTTGGTTTTGAAATGATATATATTGTAATCCCCATTTCAAATGGTTTTGATTATAGCTATCTATAATATGCTATTTAACGCATATTGATGGGTTACCAGCTTTATTCGCTGACCGGGTGTTATCCCTTGATTTTTATTGGTTTTGAGTATATGCCGAGTGCGCTAGATGTAGACTTTAGATAGTATAGATCCCATGCTAAACGTTTATCCTTTGTTGGCCTGTGTGCCTTAGAATTGTTATTGTTTTGGTTGGATTGTTGTTGACTAGCCTGTGCACCTATGGTTTATGGGTGTGGCATAACATCTCTCCGATTTTAATTAAATTTCCGTTGTTGTTTATCTTGATGATTAGATGTTTACCTTTGAAATTAAGTTTTAAAAATGTTTAAAAATCGGGGATGTTACATACGCGGCTAGCCGGTTTGGCCGTTGTTTTGACCGCTGTTCTGGCTGGAACCACGGCCACCGTTACTGCGCCCGGAACCGCGACCCTTCTGGCCGCCCTTGTGCGCCGTCAAAGCGGCTGACGGCCACCTCCGAGACCACCGCGCATCATAAATTCCTCCGCGCCCAAGAGATCCGTAAGCTCTTGGAGAGTAATAGGCTAGTTGCGCACGTTGAGAGACGATACGAGACCCTTGAACTCTGGTCGTAGCCCCCGAAGAGATCCATAAGCTCTTTGGCAAGCATCACATATTTGATCTTTCTTGAAAACAATGTCGGGTAGACCTTCAACGAGTTTGTTTCTTGCTAGCTTGTTGATAGTCTTGAAGTTTAGATGATTCAACTTTCTATGCCATTCCCAACTTGTTGCATGTGAGTTTGCTAGTAGACATACTGAATCTTTTGTCGGGTTCCAATCATCCACATACATATTTTTCTTCCTTTTTCCTTCGAGCACAACTTCTCCTAAGGAATTATTCTTCACTTGACATTTATCTTTGAAGAATTCTACTAGATATCCTTTGTCACAAAATTGGCTTGTACTTAACAAGTTGAATTTTAGACCTTCAACAAAGGATACATCTTCAATTTTTAAACCATTGCGAAATATTGTACCAATTCCTTTGGTTATGCCGTATCGTTCATTTCCACCGAATACGACTTTTGGTCCTTCGATATTTTTAAAGTCCACAAGACTAGATTTATTTCCAGTCATGTGTCTAGAACATCCACTATCGAAGTACCAAATTTCCTGCAAATAAATTACACATTTTTAGGTACCCAACATGATTTGGGTCCTTGGGTGTTAGTCATTTTTGGTACCCAAATCCACCTTGTACTCACTGATCTAAGTTTAGGTGATTGGTAACCATTAAACACATTATAATCATAACTAATTTTAGAAAACATTTTTGGTGCCGGTTTTTGAAAATTGACTCGATTCTTTGGCACTTGGGAAGTAGATTGTTTGAGCCTATGATAGGCATTAAATCTGCACTTAGTCCATGGTTTAACATAATCAAACCAATCTTGTTCAGAGGGATAAAATCTCCCTGCCCCAATTCTCGGATTTCTTCCCTTTTTCTTATGAGGGCTTTGTGCACTTGACTCATTGGTGTGTTTCCATTTAGGAACAAACTTTTGCCTTTTTATATACTGCTTAGGCGAAATATTGTTTCTTTGGGGCTTCGGCCTAAAAGCATTTAATTTGACATTAGTTTGATAACCAATTCCTTGTCTCACTGTGCTTTCTTGAGCTTTTACAAATTTTACTACTTGGACTTTATTATTTAAAGTAGTAGTAGAATTGGTCAATTTTTCGGATGCTTGAGAACACGATGGATCATAACCAAGTCCGGTTCTATCACTTGAGGGCTTTTGCATATTTTCCATTTTGTCCATTATTTTGGATGAATGTGTAAATGTTACTATAACCTCTCTAAGGTTGTGTTCTCTTACTTCCCTTGATTTACACTCTTCTTGAAGACAAATAATTTTATCTTTCAAGTCTTTCACATCAAGTAGAACATTTTGCAATTTTTCATTTAATTCATCTTTTTCACGAATTAAAAAATTATTGCGCTCTTTGAGTTGAGAGTAAGTGTCCATTACGGTTTGACATTCTTCCATTAAGTGAAAGAAGGACTCTCTAGAAAATGAAGAATTTACAGAGTCATAAGAATAAGATGTTACCTTATTTTCTTCATTTTCTTTTGCCATAAGACACATGTCTTCGTAGGATGAGTTGTTGGACATACTCATGCAAAACATTACATTGTCATCTTTTGAGGTGTCACTTTCATCACTTGAAGATTCTTTTGACCCACTTGTCTCTAGTGGGTCACATATAAGTGCTTTTCTTCTCTCCTTTGTGAACCTTTTATCTTTGGTCTTGAATTCTTCCTGTTGAGAGTTATAAATATTTGTGTATTGACTTTTACTTACCTTGGGGTGTGGACAACTTGCAGCAAAGTGTCTAGGCTTTCTACAGTTGTAACACAAATTTGAATCTTCCTCAACCATTTCTTTCTTCTAATTCTTTGTTGCATTCCACGATTTTCCTTGTGGATTTTTCTTGTAGTTGCTTCTTTTTATGAATTTCCTAAATTTCTTGACAAAGAGAGCAAATTGATCATTAGGCAATAATTCAACATTTTGTACTGACTTGATGGTTGCTCTGCTACGAGCGCGTTGTTCTTTTCTTCATGATCTTCCTCTATTCTTGATTTCATCTCAAATTCATAAGCTTTTAGATCACTAAATAGCTTATCGGTTGATAGGGTTTTTAGATCCTTATGATCTCTCATGGCCGTGACCTTCATGTCCCATATAGATGGTAGACCACGTAGAATTTTGAGTGAAATTTCCTTTTGATTAATATCTTTTCCAAGATCATTAATCTCTCCTAAGATTTTAGCAAATCTTGTTTCCATGTCGGTAATATTCTCGCCGTTTAGCATTTTGAAATCCTCAAATTTCTTTAATGCTATGGTGAGCTTATTATCATTTTTTTGCT